AAATATTAACCATCTGTTACAGGTAATAGGACATTACAGGTAATAGGACAGACCCACTCGGCATGTCCGACAATGTCACGTTCTTGGTTAGAAACGTGACGACCGCTGTGCCCATGGCACGTGCTGCGCGCACCAAGCGCCGAAACTTTGGCTGCGCCTAAGGCAACGGTTCGAACTCGCAGCATGTAATCTTGGAAGGGAAGCTCGAAGAAGGTGCTGGTCCAATCCTCGGTGAACACACGGATGCCCGTGGGCCAAGCTTAGTGATTGACCTGGAGCTGGAGCTGCCAAACACGACGTGTCTGGCAGTGTCTGGCATCTGATTTTGGTATACAGTGCCTCCCATTGATCCCTCAAACTGCCCAAGGAATGAAAGCAAACTCCAAAAAACCACTGGCACAAGGACAGGCACACAACTTAACCTCTGACTCACAAACGTGGAAGTACACTGGTGATATTTTCGGATTAGCCGATGAGATACAGGTCATGTAGTGATGTAATGTAGTGTTGTCTTTGGTGATGTCCCACTTATGGTGTGCCAGTTCGCCGTTAAATGGCGTGACTTTCCTTTCACTTCACATAAAGACTTCGGTCAGCGGCCAAGGCTCTACATCCTTCCTCGACTGCCCAAGCTGCCCTGAGCCTCAATGAAGGCTGAGATTCTCCACAAATTCAATATTAAAGGTATAGCCATAGCGGTGTCAAATAGCTATAGTATGCTATAGCATCACAGTTTCCAACTCATCGTGCAGTGCGGATTGAGTTGTCTATCCATCCTGGTCTCAGCGCGAAGCCACACACATAAAGAAAACACAAAGAGTTCGCTCTGAAATTATCGCACCGAACCAAAACAATGAAGAGTTGGGGCCCCACTGCTGCTCTTCTTCCAGTTGTCCCGGTCTCTTTCCCCTGCTTTTCAAAGCCAGCTGCGGTTGTCACCCGCCAGGAAGAGCCTCCCTCGCCGTAGGATCACCGCCGAATGCTGCCCCCCCCGCCGCGATGGCACGTGCCACGCCGGGCAAGGTGGGGACGCTCACGGGCGCTAAGACAGTGGGCTCCTGGTCTGAACCCCCAGGACTGGTCGGACCCCAAAGACCCCAGAGGTGACCCGAACTTTCCACCTGTAAGCCCTGGGGCTCCAACTGTAATAGGGAGTTTTCATGTATGTATTATACCCTAGGGCTCCTGTCCCATATCCTCAGGTGACGGAGATCGACCCCCGTGGCACCGACCCCAACCACCGAATCCCGAAACGAGTTCGGTGGGCCAGGAGCCCTAGGGAAGATTCAAAGTTGCCCACGATTCCTGGGTAGGTGGTTGAGATGACACTCCCTGAGGAGCCACCCATGTCCTTACCATAGCATACCTGGGACCAGGCACGGGAGGCCTGTCCTTTATACCTTCGCTTTCGTGGTTGGAGAGCATCAAAGCCAACATCCAAAACCAAGTCAAACACAGCTACGAAGCGCCGTTGTGAGGCTGCCTGTTGGTTACAAAGCACATCTTGAAGAGCTATCAACATGTATTTTGATTGGGTGGTTGCCGATTCTTCCTGGTCATTGGTGTCGCTCCCTTGCATGCATTGATTCAAGGTGGGCTTTGAGATAGGGAAAGCTCAATTATTGCTTGTTTGCCCCGGCAACGGGTCATTATTCCGCTCTGCATCAATAATTGAAACATGTCTAATTAGAAACTGTATCCAAGAAACTTCCTCTAGGGCTCAGTGTAGCTGAAGGGAGCAAGTGCAACACTGTATATAACACTGGTCACTGCAAGATTGAAACGAGTAGATATAGATCTTTGTCAAGATGTTTCCCCTTAAATGAACATACGCCACAACTGATGGATCAGCAGTTCTGTGCATTTCTCCTGATCATAGGCAGGCCCCAGGCCTAAACGACCCCGGCTATTGCATCCCCAGCAGAAGACATGACCTGAGTCTGGTACCACAAACGGCAGGTCTCATGGACTCATAGCTGGCTGGAATGGTTGAACAAGTCTCCCAGCAAAGAAGGATGAAAAGCAAAGTTGGCACTCACTAGAAATGTGTGCCAAATTGATTCTGAAGAAATTCTTGGATGGACTCCAAGGAGTGAGCTAAGCGGCTTGGCCAAGTATTTGGATTGGTCTTGAGTCTTGGGGGGCCCAACTACTACATACATTCAAACATAAGGCACTGCATTCGCCCTGGAAGTCATGGATCAATCCTCCCTGACTCTCAGGGAATCCCCTTTGAGTGTTTACAATCTGGAAGACGATCCCATGGACCCTGAAAACCACTGGCTGGTAGAGGAAAACAATCTTCCAGGGGGGCCATTGGACCCGGGTCTATGTTAGTTTTCGGGAGTGTAGATGTCAATGTGCTTAGGACATGCCAGTCAAACGGCATCGCAACAAATGGCATTTGGAGAGTCCCCACACAACCTGCAGCCCGCATTGAAACCATATCTGCCATCTTACGCATCTGATTCTATCATCCCACACGGCATAATTAACACTGTAATACAGTACAGTCCTATCCACTTGCATCAGGAGAACCTCCTTTAAAGTTAGATCCTTCTGAAACTCCACCCACCCACCCCAAACACCCACTGCGCCGCGCCCGGCCTTCTACACTCCCCACCGGTCGTCCGACCGAGCGTCCGCCGATGGAAAGCGCCATCGAGCTCTGTGGCCCCGCCGCGATGCCACGCACCGGCATACTCCGGAGGTGGTTCCCTCCCGGCGGAGCGGCGTGGAGGGGCAGGTCGACCCATCTTGATGGTCCAGGTGTTCGGAGAAGTCGCGGAGGAGGAGGGCTGGTGAGGTTGCAGCGTGAAAATGAAGTTGATGATGTGAAAATGAGGTTGATGTAACACAAGCACTCATCGTTCGATAACCGGTGGGACACGGTGCAGGACTTGTCCATTGGGCACACATCTTCCAGTCTCATGAAGGGTGCCCGAAAACCACTCGGTGGTCTCTTCGCCGTTCCGTGTGAATGGCCGAACGAAACAGCACTGGCGAAGGACCTACCGCACGACCGGTCGCGAGGGACGACGCGACGCTGCCAAACAGATTCTGCAAGAATAGCGAGCAAGCAAGCAAGCAACAAAGCAACAAAGCAAAACAAAGCAAAACAAAGCAAGCCAAGCAAAGCCAAGTCAAGCAAAGCCACTCAGCAAAGCAAGCAAAGCAAAGCAAAGCAAAGCCAAGCCAAGCCAAGCCAAGCTGGGCAAAGGACCCAACATCAGTCTTTGGAAGGTAGAAACAGGACCCGTATACCAGGCTAAATTCGTTTCGCCATGCGGAACTGAAGCACTTACTGAAACAGTGTTTAGGGTGAGTGGGCCAGAACGAACCACCGCGGAGCGTTCTGAGCAGCAGCCTCCCCCGCGCCTAGCACGCGTTCGGCCTGTTCCTGGGAACCACAACGGCCGGAGCCCAGCGCACCATGCAGGTTGCAACCGAAGGAGTACACTTCACCTGGGACGAACTGGAGGGTCTGGAAGAATTCAGGTCAACGCTCCATGACCAAGAGAGGTTAAGTGACCTTATAGGATCTTATAGGATATCCAAATTGTAGGCCGGGTTCTGAAAAACCTCTGTTGGGCAGTTCCATCCCACAAAGCTTTTCGAAGCTTTTGACTCACTGCCACGAACTGCCCCGAATGCAGAACCGAAGCCCGAAACAGTGAGGGATTGACATAGCCGCGGGAGAAAGTGGGGACGCCCAAATCCATGAAGGCCCCTTGTTTGCTAAATGCACTAAGTCTCTAAGTTAGTATAGCCACGGGATGCCACGGGAAACGAGCAAAACAACACTTATGCTTTCTCAGGCGCTACAATTAGTCTCTAAGAATGCACTAAGTCTCCAATAAAGAAATTCCCTTTTTGCTTTCCATTCCTCAGTGCCTTCATTCGATGGCCGTTTGGGTCATTCCTCAGGTGCAACCTCCAACAGCTCTGAAACGCGCCCGTCAGACGGCTGTCCAACCGAAGCTGGCTCACCGCAAACAGATGACCTGTTCATGTATAGCTATCCAGTGGCCTGACGTCAGGGACGTTTGGGACTTTTCTTTTCGGTACCGGTTCCTGGGATCGAAGAGTCAGTCGGGGGTTCTTGAACAAGCGACCTGAACAACTTGTGACCTGTGTTATCTTAATTCATTCTATTTCTGTGGTGAACAGGGCGGTGTGGCTTTTCAGATGTGAACAGGGCGTCGTCTTCAACGAAGACATCCCATCCCTGGGAGCATCCACGGGACCCACGCCAGAGCATTCCATGGTTTGAATATCAGGACCTTCGGTGGCCAAGACCTTCAACTTCACAACTCCCCCACCTGGCCTCAACATTTGCTCGCCATATGCGGATAGAATCCCGTATAACCACTAATACTTGTCCATCTCAGCTACGCCTTCAGCACCAAGACAGGTTGGATTAGACACGCAACCCTGCAATCCCTATAGCCCACGACTTGCCACAGCACTCTTCTTTAATCTGTTCCCTTGACCCTCCTGGCCGTTGACCCTCCAGGTTCGGTGGTTCGAACCCTCCCAACCCCTAGGGTGCAGGTGGTGGGAGCATAAGGGTTAAACCAAAAGCACTCATCGAAACACCCTGTTCACGGGTGGTGCCCGACTCTCACCCGTGCTCGCAGCTCCAGAACCGACCCCGTCGCGCCGGAGCCGTGAGTACCAGGTCACCGTGCGCCGTGAGCACCAGCGAGTGATGTTCGCCACAGGCCACCTGCTTCACCAAGACTCCACCAAGGTGGACCACCCCCGGCCGCACGCGCGAGCGGTAGGGCAAGCCGTGGCCGATCCTCAGGTGGCCGGATACAGCAGGCGGACGGCGGAAAGCGTTGTGGTTTCGGCGGTGGTGGAAAGCGCCACATCCACCCCGGGTTTTGGGGGGTGGGTGAGGAAAGGTGCCAGGGGCGATCTTCCGTTTGGGTGACGTGCGAAGGACTGGATATGGTGCGAAGGACTGGATTCCCGGTCCAGATGGACCTGCGGCCCTTGTAGGGCTGTTGGGACCTGAAGACAGCGGAAACCCACCGAGGTCCTGCACCAAGCGGTCCAAGTCACCAACAGCGCCAGGTGGAGGTGTTTTTGGGATTGCAAACACAACCCAAATAGGGATGAGCCCATGGGCATGTTATGTGTCCTACAAGTCCATGGGTGCTCTCATTCGACTGGCGCCATTATTTTCAAATGCACATATATTCTATTACCCTAGAAGTCCAAAACATTCCAAAACTTATATATATATATATCTAGTTGCCCCACTGAAGTAAAGGAAGTTCCCTTCCGGATCACCTAAAGAGTGTTCTCAAAATAGTCTTGGATAGTCTTGGACTCCCAGGGCTATTCTTCTCTCTCTCTCTCTCTCTCCCTCCCCGAGGGTTTGGCCAATTGGCTATGGTGAGCCCAGCGCCCATTTCCACCGCACATATTTTGGACAGCGGTGGTTCCAAAAACATGTGGGTTCCACCAACCTCTTCAGGGCCCAACACATATCACCGTCGAAAGCAACAAACACTTCCGTAAGACAGCGGTGCTAAGTGTTTTCAAGCTGCTGTACGGCTCAAACAGCGGTGCAAGATTGGGAACTGCTGGCACACATGCCATGCCAAACACGCATTGACATGGTGAAATCATGCGAAATCTGCGCACTTCACATGCGTCATTGCAGTGCAGTTTCCTATTCACCTGGGTCATAATCCCTAGTTATCTTATAGTCTTTTGTGCCTTGGCATGTGACGCAAAGAAACACACACTTCGCTAACAGTTCATTCTTACTGTTCCCCGTCCAATGCAAACAAAACCGCCTTGCACACATCAAAAAACATGCTGCCTGAGTGTTCGTATCGCAAATGTCTTTCGTAATTAGCACCAAACGTTGTCTTTAAGAACATCTGTGAGAGATGCCAGGTGCAATCAACACACTGTGCATGCATGAACGATTTACCCCTGGTTATTTGTTTAAAATATTGTTCATCATATGCCTTTCTCGCACGTTCGCGCCCATACTCACGCAAAAAAGGTGCCGCCGCACATGCCGCACATGCCGTGCCATCCAAGGCGCTGGCCGAACTCATTGGAAGGGCCCCAAGAAATCACCTGAGACCGGTCCATTCGCGGGTTTGGAGGTTAGGTGAGTGCCAGCTACTTCAGTTCGGGGGTGCCAAAACTGGGTCGATTTTATAGTGGAAAGGGCTTACTGCATGAAGTGCTTTCTTGGACTGGGTGAAAGGACTGCTCCGTGTTATGAATCACTGGGTGAGTGAATTGATTGGAAGCCCTTCCCATATCCTTCAGTTACCACTTCCTTGTCCCGGAACAAGGCTTCAGGGCTAGATCTAGTTCGATCCTGACAACGATGGTTCCTTTCTGGCGTAGGCTACCAGCTAATACCACCTCTCTCTTAGCCAGAACTTCCGTTTTGACTCATTTTACTCCACCTGGTAGTCATAATCCACCACTGCCACAGAGGTAAAATGAATTCTGAATGATATCAAACTGAAACATGAAGGAATCCTTGGCCATCTCAGGGTGTTTTACCCCCACGGTCGCGCCGCCACAAGTCGGACACCCGGTCGGGCCAGCCGCCACGGTCGTTTCACTCACCTCTGTCGCTGCTGAGTGGCGGCCCGGCCGCCTTCCAGGATGGCCATGATGTGGTCACGACCTGGGTGGTGGGGCCGAGAAAGGCCGAGGCTTTGGGCTGACAGGGGAAATCAATCATCCAACAGTCCCAAGAGAGAGTCACTAAGTCAGGTTGGTATGACTTATGATCAGTTTTTTGTTTTGAACATTTGCAGAAAAGAGGGGGACTTTTTAAGAGATCAGGGCAATCCGTCAACAGGGCTCTTAATCTTAAAGATGTTTAAAACATGTTTCTGTTAATCACACAAGGATGTATTTCCAAGAGCTTTGGTATCCCCACATGTGGCTGCAAAGAAACTTCTAAAGGAGCTTTGAGAACTGCTCACTTGTCGAGATACCAGGGCCCTGCATCACGTGTCTTTTTCTGACCTGTCAGATGGGGGTCTCTGATGATGTCAAGCATTGTCAGATTACATGCCAGACTTGATGTCAAAACAAGTGTCAGTCAGGTCCCTTATCGGGATAGATCGTTCCTATACACTCCTGCAACAAAATTATCACCCCACACCTGGAGGCCCATTTGTCCATAGAATCAAGTCTAACCGAGTCATCCCAAAAAGAAGCTCAGCTGAAACCTGGGATTTGCTGCTGCCAGGAAGCCGGGAAAAAGGACAAAACATGGAACAACAACAATTCCCCAGGTTTGGGGATTTCACCAATTAGGGTCTAAGGGAAAGAAATCACCTGATCGGCCAAACCAGGAAACTCTTCATGACCGAACTTCACGCCTCACTTGACCTTGACATCTGTGATGGGCTGGTTAGACGCTGACGTCACAACAACTCCAAACAAGAAGGTCACTGCATGAAGTATAGAAGCTCCTGAAACGCGTTTCATTTCTTTGGATCTTCTCTTTCCACCTCCCGGCGACTCAACGGAGGCCTCCGTCTTCGACTGCTGCTCCGCTTTCCCGCCGAGCGGCCCATGTCGGCGGCCTCGAAGGGCACCGCGTCGAGCTCCGCCACGTCCAGGCGCGACAGCGGCACGTGCTCGTCGCCTGGATGGACGGTGCAAAACCAAACGCGACCAGTCTGGGACTGCCATGACGGACAGCGAAACGGCGTTGGGGTGGTGCCTGGGGGGTCGGAGGCATATATTGTCCCATGGAGTGTCTGGGAAAGGTTTTTCAGCTGGTATAATGGTATATTTAAATTCCCTTCTGGGGAATAATTTTTCTCCATTCCTTGAGCAAATCCAAGTGAAAATATCTGAAGTGTCTATAGTCTATACATGTATCTATACACTCGTTGGACAAATCATGGGAGTGGATGGCAGAAAGCCCTTGGATTACCAATTTTCCTCTGCAAACAGGTGGTGAAGGGTGGTGAACTCCCTCCACTTCCATGATTAGGACCCAGGACGTCAGAGTCTCAGAGATGGAACACGACACACACGTCTCATGGTGGCCGGAGACTTGGTGGCTCCCTTCCGGAGACGTCTGGAGCTCTCTCTCTATCTCTCTCTCTCTCTCGGTTGAATCATGCCAGGTATAGGCCGGACAGAACGTTCTGAGTTCATCCACCGAATCAGGAGAGGCATTCGCTGGGAATTCCAAGCACACATATCTTAAACATAATACGAATCCAAAGATCTTGATGTAGCGGGGCATTGCAGCCAGTCACTAAGCAAGTCATTGGAAGAGACCAACACTTGTGGAAACAACCTTCAGAACAAACTCTTCTCTCACCATCGGAAGACTCAAACCAATTCTCCTCCCAAAACAAGGAGAGGCCATTAGACTCTGTTATCCCGTCGAAGGGAGATTGCGAAACATGCACGGTTAGAATTAAACAATAAAATCGGTAAGACGCGGTTAAACTTTGGAGCCAAGCCGCCTCCCTTCGGAGCCAAGCCGCCTCCTCGCGCCCTCCTCCTCCTCTTCCCATAAAAAAAACCGCCCAGCCAGCTGGTCCCCCCCCGGCTGCGTGAGCCGTAAGGCGGCCGCAACGCAACGTGACCCACCCAGTTCCCCCCGGTCTCACCAGGCCGCTCAGTTCCTCGGAGAGGCATTGCCCTCGGTTGGAGCCGCCGCCCCACAGGGCGCCCTCACTGTCCAGGAGCAGCGAGCCGTCCCAGCCGGCGCAGAAGGAGCGGAGGGGGCGGAGGAAGGGCACCTGGGAGGAGCGAGGGTCTCAAGTCGAAAACCAAGAGAGGTTGAAGATCCCGGACTAGGCTGCGGCTATCCCAGTTCGGTACCCTGGTAGGGTCCTATTTACGGTCACTTAACCTCGAACCTTGGTTTTGAGGAGGGAGAATTCTGGGACTGGGGTGACTGGGTGACTGGGGGGAGGACCCAGAGCAAACACCAAAACACACCAAAGACGTGGCCATACCCCCAAAAAAACACAATATTGTCTTGTCTTGTTTTTTCGTGGAACCGGTAAGTGGGACGAGTTGGACGGCTGGGAGAGGGTCCTGATGGCTTCTCTGTTGCGACCCGCACGTGGTTCGTGAGGACGGCCATGTCAAAACCCTAGGGATCCAGTCGTACCTTCTCAGGTACGGTGATTGGAGACACTTTTATGTAGGTTTTATGTAGGTTCGGTACGACTGGATCCCTAAGGAAATGACATCCCCTATAGGATGTGACATGGGTAGACCACAAGCAACTCCGGACTGATGAAGCACCGAGTCCTCAGCGCCAAACTCTCATTGCTCATTAGCTATGTCAGCTGTTTCATCGCTCATTTCTGCCCAAGCGGCATGCTTGGGAGAAGGAATGACCCGAGCCTCATCTGAAAGGCACTGTCCTCAGAGCCGCTTTCCCAATCTTTCCCGGAATGCGACGCGACACACTCGGGTCAACTGCAACACAGTCGACCCTTGGGGGAACCCCACGCGCTACGTAAGACTAAGAACCTTCATGGGTTCCAGGCGCATTTTTCGAATGAAGACTTCCAAATCAGTGGACGATGGTGGATGCTTTTGGTGGACGATGGAGGCACAATGGCAGATTGGACTTAAACAAAAGGTTACCTACCGATATAATGTCGTGCACTAGAAATGACATGACACAACATAAAACACAAACATACTGGGCACACTGCACGCGAAAGGGTCCTGTTCCCTACCTTTGGCAACCCCTCGTGAACCCCACAACCCTACAAATGGATGAACCACCCTATGGCCTCCCAACGGTCCCAACGGAGGTGTTCATTTTTTTTAGGGGGGGTTAGCGACTGTAAATAGGACCCGTCACCTGGGGGTCACCTGAGGGACATAGGATAGCCTCTCGGTAACCTACTAGGGTTCTTCAATCGTTGGTGTCCCATCTGACCTCCTCAGGTCTCAGCCTGTCCCCTCCAGCTGGCTAAAAACGGAGGTCCCCCCCGATACTGTACTGCCCCGGCTCGGTTGGCATTGGCGCCCCACGTGAGGATGTAGCGCTCCTCCGGTCCGGGCCCTTGGCCCCGCCGGTCCTGCAGCGCGGCCACAGCCGCGGGAGTCGGTGCGGAACGAGTGCCACGTGGGAGTCGGATGGAGTGCCGGTGATCGGATCGGCGGATGGACTCTCCCCAGGCTGAACGCTGGAGTTAGTGAGGAGTCGGGTGCTGAACGTCGTTCAAGCAGGCGAGGTCTGGAAACGGTGGGATGAAGTGAATGCCATAAGTCATGGAATCAAAGTGAACCAGAGGTCACAAGTACGGGGTGGTTTTTAGTCCCATCCAGTGAGTGGATGTTCTGGGCACCCCTCACCTCCATGGATCGCACCCCGTCTTGTGACTCCTGGAAATGGCGAGTCTCGTTGAAAGAAACGATTCTCTTCTCAACATGTAACATGGTGCACAAGCACCCAAAGCTTCCTTCGCTTCTTAAGGCGGCCAAACAGTCGCTTCTGCAGGATCACAGTGTAGATTGCCCTGGTGGGGTTGGGGCCTCCATATTCTAGCGAAACGGCGGGACATGGTTCCAGGAGCACTGGAGAATTTGTGCTTCAGGAGTTGCAAAAGGTGTCGTGTCTAGCCATGATCATGTTTAGTCAAGTCCCATCCCAAGTGTCCTGGATGTGATTGATGTGACAGGGCACCCCTGACCTACTGTAACTGCCCGGTTCCTCCATGGATCTCAGCGCCTGTCCTCCACGGAATTGCTGATATCCCAAACCATCCATGGGGCTGGAATCTATGCCTACATTGACCCCCCCTGGCACCACCCCTGGCTAGCACTGATCCGTACAGAATTATGTCAATGGTCTTGGCATGCGTTTTGGGAACGTTTTCCTCTCCACCCCCACCACCCTCCACTGTCCTCTGCCGTCGACGCCGCTAGATTCAAGGGAGCCGTGGAGGAGAACATTGGACGAGATCATCGGAGCGAGCTATGGCAGCTATGTACAAATGCTCCGTTCGAAAAGAAGAAGTGGCTACCCCTAAGGGTCCCAGCTGCTAAGCTGATCTTGACCACCCTAGCAGTCAGTCGTACTACCATAAGCCTGATCATGTGATGCACCGGCCATTGATACAATTAATATATTATGAATTATATAAACGTGGTGAGGTCTGGGAGGTCAAGGTTGTTCTTGGTGACTCTGAAGGACATACCACTATAGCCACTAGCTCTCTTATAAACATATGTGACTTTTGTTGAACAAACATCGATCCCGGGTGAATCTTGGTGTCCAAGTCTATGGCTCACGCCATCCCATGGGTGCACCGGCCATTGGGGGGAGCCCCATTTTACGAGGGCACATTCTTGGAGAGCACGTTGCAGCGACCTCTTTCGGTCAGTTGTGCTATGTTGTGCTTGCCGTGAGCCAAAACGGCGCGCAAAAAGGCCGGAGAAGCGGGCGAAGCAACGGAGCACACCAGCCTTCGACTCATAGGGGAAATGGGACAAACAAAACCTTTGCTCCAGAAGCGCCGATGAGTTGGTGCCAGGTACCTTGAACTAAACCATGCCTGTGTCCATGTCGATGGTTGGCGTGATGTCATGGAACAGGTCTGTCAAATCTTTGGATTTGCGGACCCAGACCCAGAAGGTCGGAAGGGAATTCACCCATAGGGGAAGCAACAAACATCAATAAAAATCACCTGCTTTAAGCAAAAGCAGGAAATAGGATGCCAAGGCTGCGATCCACCTGCGGTGGATCGTAGATGTGGATCCATCCATCGACCGTCCATCGACGCTCCGTTGCTGAGAGAAGGCTGTTCCATCCCAGCTGGCACGAAATGTTCATGGCGGTTTGCTGGGCCAAGTGGTGCATATGACGTATCTGAGTTCCTCAGGTTTCCAAGAGCCCTCCTAATGTAGACTCTTGAGGACCATACACCCCCCATATATGAAGAGGATGTTCAATTAAAATCGGGGGTTATTAATCAAGAGTCTATGTTATGTTTTTCTGCTCTATCATGTTCGACCTTCACCCACTCAGCCCGGCCCAGCCCATACCGTATGGGTTAAGTAGGACGCTCAGATTCTTGCTATGAAGGAAACAAAGCCATCCGTTTGGCATGCAACATGCAAGTAGGTGGACGAACGCGGGGGTAAATCAAGTGGTGCAGCATCAATTGCCATGATGCTGCAGGTAAATCCGCCGACCCCACTCGTGGGGTCAGGCGTGACTGTTGATTAAGGCTAAGGCTAAGGCTATGATTGAGGCTAAGGCTATACCTCCCCGACCCCTCCGGAGCCTTGTTGCAGTGACGAAAAGTACCCGAGATGTGTGCCAGATTTGCGCAAGATGTGTCCAAGATTTGCGCAAGATTTTGCCAAATCTATTGGCTTGCTTCTTACTGGGGGTTGGGGCACCCTCCCCACCCGCGTGGGAAAATAAGCACGGTCCCTAAATGGTCCCGGGCTCGAATCCCGGGCTGGTCGCGGCCTGGTCCCTGCCAGTGCCCTTGGTTTTTCCTAGACTTTGTAACGTTTTCCGCTGGATTTCTAGGATTTTCAAAGGTTTTTGTAAGATTTACTCATGCCTTTCAGGCCTTTTGCGATGGTGTTTTCCAGCATTTCCTCTGGTTTGTCTAGGTACTTCTGTGGTTGCCTAAAGGCTCCGTGTTGTTTTTTGGGCTCCCAGATTTGCAAAGAAAAGTGCTAACCCACTTTCCTCGATTTGCAAACGTTTTCCGCTGGATTTCTAGGATGTTCTAAGGTATTTCTTATCTTTACTCATGCCTTTCATGCCTTTTGCGAGGGTTTTTCCAGGATTTTCTCTGGTTTTTCTAGATAGTTCTGTGGTTGTCTAGGGGCTCCGTATTGTTTTTTGGGTTCCCAGATTTTCAAAGAAAAATGCTAACCCATTTGCCGTGCTCTCTTCTGCCTACTTTGGTGATGCAGTGACAGATCATCTCTCTAGGGGTTCCGTGTTGTTTTTTTGGTTCCCCGATTTTTCGAAAAAACTCTTAACCCATTAAACCTAGGCCATCCACTTCCCTGGGGGACGGCGGCTGCCAGGCGTTAGCCTGGTTAATAGGTCCTCGGTGACAGCCTAACTGCACCTACCTAGCCCAAGAAGGATGTACTGGCAGCTAGCAGTGGCTTTGGAAACAATGGCCTGTCCTGTCAGCCTTTCACCCAAACACTTCCCACCTCATGCACGATCCTCACCACAAACCATTTCAACCTCCCCCCCTCCAGGCTTGCGCGGCTCCCACGCGGCGCATGCCTTGGAAGAGGGCGCCTCACTACCTGCGAAGCTCCGTGCGTCAGCGGAACTTAGGGGAGCTCACAGGTGGTCCCAGCTCGGACACTGCGGTGGCGGCAACCCAAGTGGATCCCAGGAACCAGAAAATTCATGCTGTCGAACGTTGCCTGGAACCACGTGGGACGACACCAGCGAGCGACCTCTCGTGGGGTGCCTGCCTGAATGCCCTTTCCATCGTGCCCCATCCGCCGACCTCCGCCGACCTGGTCACTACGGGTCTACTACGGCGTTGGTCCGTGCCGTGGGCCTGTGGGTCTCGTGGTCAGGCGCTGGAGCAAGGAACGCCACAGCTCGACGCCTTGCTCCTCGTTGAGCACCGCCTAAAAGCGGCGTGAGAAGGTTCCGAGCTCCGAACCCGGTCGGGAAGGCGGTCCGTGCGGCAGGAACCGTGTGGAAGACCAACACCCGGGAATCGGGGTCCGGGTGATACGCAGTGACCACTGAGCTGATACGCAGTTCCATGTGATTCTCCTTTGCAAACGTGACACACAGCGAAGATTGAAGGGCTTTGGTTTCAAAGAGTCTATGTGTTTAGTTCGAAGTCTATAATTAAAAAGCAGAGGTGCCGTACAATTTATTTCTGAGTCTGTCAGCATTCCCTGGAACATAACGAGGAAAACCCATTTCCCCAAAACTGGTTTTGCAGGACTTTTTGTAGGTTTTCCACTTTTCCTGGGTAGGATTTTGATTCTAATGTTCACGCATCTTCTATTGAAAGGAATTAGCTGCTAAAGTGTGTGCAAGACATGTTGAGATGACCATCTATAACTCCAGCGAAAAAGCCTCTGAAACTGTGCACCACATCAGCCTTGAAACATTGAAGTCGAAACCCTCTGGGCACAAACACCTCTCTGAAGCCCAAAAAAGCTCAAGAAGAGATTGATCAAGCCTTGGAGGATCATCGGACCATCCCCAAACCACATGGCGGTGGGTCACCTGGAGCCCCGAACCGACCTGCGGAGAACGGAGGTCGTCAAATGACCCACAGTCAGGGTCTGGACGTCTCACAGGACCCGGGGTGTCGAAACTTCTAGAGATCCCGGATGGTCGACGTGGGCTGGGTGCTACTCTCCAGCCAGAACTCCCAGGCAGGATGGTGCGATTTTTCAAACAAACACTCCATATTCGATCCGGCCGCTGCGACGGTGCTGCCGGCGCGTTTTGGGCGTTTTTGGGCGGTCGCGCATGTGGGTGGCGCATTTGGCTCAGGTGGTGAATGGATGTGGATGAGACCTGCTCAAGATGGAACAAAGTGCATTTAAGTGGCATCTATTCCCCACATCTTTGTTGGCTCTAGCTAGCCTCATGCAACAATCGGACAACTTCCAAGTGGCCATACTTGGCTGCAGTGTGCACAGCCGTTGAACCATCTGTATCTGCTGCATCTTTGTCAGCTCCAGCCTCCAGCAACAAT